TGGGCAAGCAGAGGAGATGGACAGGATAAGGGAGCATTCAGTTAATTCCACTTCAAACCCAATTTCATTTCCTTTCTAATTAGAGCAGCAGGCGTGTTTTAACAACTGATTATCTCTCCTGGGCAGTTGTGTGTATTCTTCTTGGCTACTTTCTCAGCTTTTCCAAGCAGAGCTCTGCTGTGATTGTAACATAAATAAAACGAGAGCAAGGCAGAGCACGAGCACTTTGGAGAATGCTCTGCCAAGAATTAGGAGCAGGGCTTCCTTTTTCATTGCTAAGGGTGAAAAATAGGAGGTGTTCACCATAGGAAAATATAAACCCTTAGAAGCAGAGCAGAGACCTCTGAAATTTTTTATTATTGTTGTTGTTGTTATTATTATTATTATTATTATTATTATTATTATTATTATTACTACTACTACTACTACTACTATCTGAAATAATCTTGTTTGGGAAAAAAAGACACATTGTAGAGCTGAGTTTCCAATTCCCTCCCCATCCTCGGGCTGCCTCCACCACCAGCAATAAGTTGGGAAGCTCCAAAGTCCTTTTTTCCACCCTTCTTCCACTCTGGCAGCCAATTCCCAGATGCAAGACTGAGTTGGTTTTCCCTTTTCCATGACCTCACCCTCGTTTCTCTTGGCACTGCCTCTCCCCTCACCCAAGGGAACACTCCCAGGGGGTGTATTTCTTAAGGAAAAACATTTTTGGCAAAAAAGAAAAAGAAAAAAAGGGAAGTGACACTATTGCAGACACTTCACATTGCCAGGATGGCACTTTAAATATTCCCATCCTCTTCATCATGATACTGGATTCCAGACGAAATTCCCACGGACCCATCCCACAATAAACACAAGGGCAGGCAGAGGGAAGAGCAGGAAAACGAAATGTAAATACCAGCACTCCTGATCCTTTCTTTAAATTTTTTAATTTTTTTTTTTTGACTCCCTGAAGTCCTGGGCTGGAGCTTAAATTTCCTGCGCCCTATAAAAGCTCATTAAACAGTTCCAGGGGTCATCTCGATGGCATTTTCCTCGCTCCAAATGGGATGAGACAGCTTAGAGTTAATAAGTCCGAAAGGACCGCTTATAAAATAAGATGTTGTCACAACGTGTTGTTAAAATAGCAGGTGAGCTGGCCCATTTGGAGAGCTTAATGGCCCCACGTTTTAAAAATATCTGTGCTCCATTTCCCCCGACAGATCGTAAGTCCGAGGCAGATATGGATTTTCCTGCCTGGGTGCTGCGCCGAGTTCCATCTCCCACTCCACATCTGCTCAAACCCCTCCCAGTGCCTTTGCCACCGTGTTTTTGGGGCATGGTGGCTGCAGGGATAGGGTTGTGCTAAGGTCATTTTGCTGGGATCAGCTCAATCCCCATCCAGGAGGAGCTGCCCAGCCTTCTTCCCAAGCCGCTCTTCCTTCCCGAGGCTCAAACTCCCGGGGGATTAGCGCAACTGCTCCCACCCAGGTTTTATTTCTTTTTACCTCACGCTGTTTGCAAGAACTTCACGCCCAGCACGAAATTTTCCGACTGGCAAGTGGAAATTTAGTCAGCAGAGCCTCTATTATTCCCAATTTATCCCTCCACAGGAGAGTTGTGCGGGACGAAGGGCTGGAGAAAGGAAAACGCGGGCACGCACGTGCCAGCAAGCCAAACCCAAGCTGAATTATGATCCACCGTTTATCAACCATTACGTGCAGGGGATTTCAAGTGTATTTATTGCAACCTGACTGTGAGCAGCTCAAAAATCAATCTGGTAAATGCGGAGGGAGAGGGCAGAATTCTGGTTTTCGTTATCCTTTCCCTGGTAAAAAAAACTACAAACCCTCTTCTTCGGAAGGCTTTGCCGTCGGGGATAGGATTCAGCCCAGGGTGGCTAAAACAATGGGATGAAGGAGAGTGGGATAACAAATGCACAGGAGAGGATGGAAAAGCACGGGGAGGCGAGGAGGTGACTTGTTGAGGCAGGGATGGATCACTGGGAATGAAGCAGAGCTTCATTCGTGGATGCATCCACAAAAGCGGAGGGGTGTGAGTTTGAAGGATGAAACTCTCCAGAAATCCCAGCTCCAAGCTGATGCCTCACACATTGTCCCCCGGTGCTGGGCACTGCTGAGGCACCTCCAACCCTGACTTCAGGGCTGGGCCCCTCCATTCAGGGAGGAAACTGAGGGACTGGAGCGTGTCCAGAGAAGGGAATTGAGTTCAGGAAGGGTCTGGAGCTCCAGGAGCAGCTGAGGGAGCTCAGCCTGGAGAAAAGGAAGCTCAGGTGGGACCTTCTTGCTCTCTACAGCTCCCTGACAGAAGGGTGCAGCCAGAGAGGCAGGCTCTGCTCTTGCCCAACCTAAAGAATTCTGTAATTCTGTCACCCTAAGCGAGTGGATAAGGGAAAACATGGTGGGTGTGACCCCAAGCACAGTGCACCTGCTGTGCCAAACCTGAACTGCTCAAACACCTGAGTGGCTTTAACCCTACGTTAGTCCCTGCCTGGGACTGATTTGGAACAAGCTTGGCTTTCTCCTGCCTGACCAAGGACAGCTCAGTGCCAGACCGACGGGTGGGAAGGGGGAAAATTCCGTTTATACACAGGGAAGCGATGGGTGGAGACATCCCGCCCAGGCCTCACCACACCACACTGGTTTGGGAACCACGAGCCCAGCTTTGCCAGGAAAGCTCTCAAAAGACACGGGAAAGGTGGTGGCTGCCGTGCCTGTGTGGAAAATCAAGGCATCTGCTCCCAAAGGTTGGATGATAGCGGCTTTTCCATTTTGGTGATATGCAACCATCTGGTGCCCTTCAAGAGAGAGGGCTTCTTCCCCTCCAATTTAAGAAATAGAATGAAAAAGGATGAGATTAGATGAGAAGCAGAGGGGAGTTTTGCATCTCTTTAATAATGACCTTTTTCCAGGGTTGCTTTTTTTTTTTTTTTTTTCCTGGAGCGCTGGGAAGAAAACTTAACTTCTATTTTAAAAGAGAAACTGGGTTTCTCATATGTTCCCATGATTCCTGATGCTGGCACCTTAAATTAATCACTGTAAAGAAGCCACCACGAAAATAGCGATACCAGAACTGAATATCCTCTGGGCAAATGCTGCAAATGCTGCCTGATGCGTCTAAAAAAAAAATAAAAAAAATAAATAAAAAATAATAAAAAAAAAATTTAAATCATTCTTTTCCTTGGCACCTCTCCTCTGGCTCATCTTATGCAAATCACCTCGCTGAGGAGAATTTCCCAGGCCGTGACAGAGGTTGGTCAGCGGGGCAGATCGAAGCAGCAGTTTCCCAGGCAATTATTTATGTGTGGGCTCAGTACAAGGAGATTAAATCTGAGCCACGTTCTCTGCCTGGGTCCATTCTCCCTCGGAGCTGTGTGTTACACAAAGTTCAATTACTCAGGGAGGCACAGGTTTGGAATGCTCCAGAATCTGGTAATTCCCTGTGCTTCCAGGACCCATCCCACCCCACTGGGGAAGGAAACACCCCGTGGTCTGTCTTTGTCACCAGGAGCTGCCAGGTTCTGGCCTTGCACAGTTTCACCTACTGAGCAGAACAAGCCCAAGAACAAATTCTAAAGCAGGGGACAATTTCCAATGTCTGGTTTACCTGAGGACATCGCGGGTCACGGCGAGTTCAGGAGCAGTTTCTCCAGAGGTGAGGGGAGCTCAGTTCACTTAATGAGTTATTTTTTGCATGGAATTATGTGCCAGGCTGTGTTCCTAGCAGGGTTTGGTGGTGGAGCTTTATCTGCATGAATCCTGGATTCAGCAGGATATGTCCTTTTCTCCCTGGGGTGAACCGAGAGCAGAAATACCAGGATGGGCCTCGCCCAGGGTGGAGGTGTTTTGGCAGAGCCCATGGCTTGGGGATGCTGATGGAAAGGGATAAATGATCCTTCACAGAGTCATTTAGGTTGGAAAAGCCCTCCAAGATCAAGTCCAACCATTCCCCCAGCACTGCCAAACCCAGCACCAAGCCATGTCTTCGTGGGCCACATCTATACAGCTTTTAAATTCTTCCGGGGATGGCGACTCCACCTCTTCCCACGGAACACAGGACTCTGGAGTGAGAGATCACTTCCTACAGGATGCCATGGATGCCAAGAGGTTGCCTGAGCTCCAGGAGAGACTGGACAAGATCATGGGTAAGGCTTCCCTGAGATTGTTAAATACACAGGAAAGGTTTTGGTGCCGGGTATCCCCAAGGAAATGCCTGAATTGAGCCGAGCAGGGAATCGCCTTCTCTTACCCTGCCAAGAGACACAGAGCAGCAAGAACCAGGACTTTGGGGAGGAGGAGACCCATAATTTTATCTCCCACTGAAACTCAGGGAATGGGAGGCTGAATCAAACCAGAATTTGGCTCCCAGGAAACACCCTTGTCCCTTGGGATGAATATCCCATCCCTGCCTGGTCCTGCCCAGCTGCACAGCCCAGCACTGCCCACTGCACTGAACGATTTCCTTGGCTTTGGGGGCTGGAATTAACAGATTTGCAGGATTGCTCCTCACCATCAGCTTTAAACTACCAGGGAGCTGGGTGAGAAGCAACTGGGATAACTTCTGGGAGGGTTTTTGGGGTTTTTTTTTGCACTCATTTACCTCCCTGCTTTGGCTGCCTGGGGGAAACGCTTTGTTTCCCCCCAGCTTTACTCACATTTTTCTACCAGCATTGACAGAGCCACCCAAGGGACGGGAGAAGTTTAGGATTCACAGCTCCCCTTCGCCCTCCCCGTGCTTTCCCTTCTCCCTCCAGAGCGGTTCCAGCTCAGCAGCAGGCAGAGAAAAATGTGCCTTGTATAAGCTGTGACGGCTGATGACTGATGACATTTATCTTCCCTCCTGAGGAGGACGGGAGAAGTCACTTCTGGCTGGTTTCACCTGGGCTGTCAGGTTTCTCAGGGCTGCCTTTAACCCAGGGGTGACACGTTTTCAGTGTGCTGCCAAGGCTTTAACCAGGGGCTCCCCAAAATTTGGCCCCACACCTTTTCCTCCCCATTTAAATGTACAAACATTACCTCTAAGTGCTCGGTGAGGGACACAGGCTGCTGTTTTTCCACTAAAACAGTTTCCATTTAACAAAGAGCCCCTGTCATGACCAATTTTTTTTTAATCTGCCCCTTCCTGGAAGAAGTGACAGCACATAGTTGGGAAGATGGATGGTGCACAGGGTGTGGAGGACAGCATCCATGGCACGGGGCTGGAATGAGAGGAAAGGAAAGCAAGGCACATTCCAAAGTAAAATCACATCCCTGGAAGTGTCCAAGGCCAGGCTGGACATGGCTTGAGGCAACCTGGGATAGTAGAAGGTGTCCCTGCCCCTGCAGTGGACAGAACCAGATGTTCTTTAAGGTCCCCAGTCTGATTCTATAAATGAACACGAGGAAGTTTTACCCTTTGGGGAGGTTTGGACTCCCTCCCCACAGCCACACCTTGTGCCTAGCTGCAAATTTCACCAGCACTACTCTGCACATTTTACACCCTGGGGAAGAAGAGATTTGTGTGGGCTCACAGAGGGATGCAGGGAGGAAAATCTGCTGGGTGTTACTAGGCAGAGAAATCACATCAGACTCCAGGATTCCCTGGAGAGGAAAACAGTTGGAGGTCAGGACAGCCTTTGTGGTGAGTACAGACGTGCTCTCCAGCTGAACCAGAAAAGCCTTTCTGATGTCCTTACAGGCTTCTCCCTGCTGCCAAGCGCAGAGGCATTGGAAATATGCTTTGTTAGGGCCTCGCTGGTAATGTGATTTGTCACTATAAACTCCCTCCACTGAGTATTTAGATACCTCTGGCCTTCTCCAAAACCCGTTTTCTGGCTGTTTCCCCTCCCCATGTCTGAAAACACTGAAGATTTAAGCCAAGAAAACTCACCAGCCTTCTCTGACTGATTTTTCTCGGAGGCTTTCACCGGAATAATTCTCCTCCAGCTTCCCATCAGTGGCTGCACCAACAGCCACCAGCAGTATTGATCAAGTACTGAGTCACTTGTGAGCCAGCACAGGCACTTAAAAAGAGAAAAAATAAAAATAAAGTCCTCTACAGAAATATCAATCAAAGTCCAAGAAAATCAGGGAAGAAAGGGCTAAAAGCATATGTATTAAATGCAATACAATCTGGCTTTATAGAGAGCCTTTTGGAGGCAATTCCAAGCTGCCTCAGACAAATTTAAAAATTATCAAAGCTGATACCTCCTCAAAAGAGCTAGACCATTCAGGGATGGTTATTGTTATTATAATATTAATTAATTAAGTATAATAGTATTAATGCAGTATTAATGCAGTGTCAAAAGGACCCGTTGCAGCTTTTAGAGGTGAAGTTGGTATAAGAAGCTCCCTGTCCTTTGCCTCCTGCACCTCCCCATCATAGCTCAGTTGCATGAGTTCCTCATTAGATTTGCAGTTGTGCTAGTAAAAAATTCCTGTGTGGATGGTAAAACACATCCCTGATGAAAAGGATCAGGAAAAAATTCCTGATTTCCCTTGCTGGGCTCTCAGCCCAGCCCCAGGAAGCAGTGGGGTGTCCAAGCCCTGGGCAGAGACATTGGGAAGGGGTTGCCAGGGGATGCCAAACAGGAACAGACACAGGCAGCCTAAAAAGGGGGGGATGCACTCGTTCAGGTGTGAGAAACAGGAGGGGCAGCAGCCAACATTTAAATTTTTTGGTGGTGGGGGATGCTTGGGTTCATGCCTATTTTTCTATTTTAATTTTTGTTTTTAAACAAACAAACAAAAAAAGATCAATATTTAATTCAGCTCTAGGGGTAACACACCTTGAAAACACGATTGGTGAACTATTAAATATCGCCTTTCCATAATTCTGCCTGGCTTTATCTCTACTGCCTGCAGTTTTTCTCCCCTCTGTCCCCTTCTTGAAAGCATAACATTGGTTTTTTAGGTGTGTTTTTTTATTGCACAGTGGTGGGGCTGGTTCCTCCAACCCTTTCCCTGGCATCCCCAGGGCTCAAACACATTCCAGGCAGGGAAAGACACATTGAGGTGATGCCAGAGGTCTGAGAGGTGCAGGTGAATGCCACTGCTGGGGCAAGGAAGATCAAATCCTTTGGCTTTGTTCCTCTTTTATGCCTGAGCCAGCATTGATTTCTGTGATTAGTGAAGGGAAATATTACTTGACTACCTGTGCAATGCTGGTGTTTCCCAGGCAGGCAAGACAGAGGGAAAACCAGGATGCTGGAAAAAGGGCAGGGCCAACCGCTCCTCTGGCTCTGTTACAAAAGAAATAATAGTGAAAAAAAAGCCAATAATGGGATTTTGGATTGATGTGGAGCTTCCAATCTTCAAGGCAAAATATTCAGGGGGAGGCAGCGATGTTGTTCTCTGGCTGAGGTGGCATCAAGCAGCTCAGCACAGCATCTTCACCAGCCTCTTAAATCTCACATCACTCCAGCTCCCACAGCAACAGGAGCAGCACTTTGTTAGACAGGAATACACAGAATAAACAGGGGTGGTGCTGCCTGTTTATCCAGGTGGATTCTCTTTACAGGCATTGAGGTCCTCCTCCCTTCAGCTGCCTCTGATTCCACAGCAGACCCTCAGTGCCTTCCCTTCTCCGTGCTTTCCCACCAGGAATAGCAGCCTGGAGTTCTTTTTTGCCCTGCTTGGAGTTTGAAGATAATTTTTAATAGGCTGACTTCCCAAAGTCAGGTGAACCCCAGAACTGGGGCTGCTTTTCTTCCGTGCAGTAAGCGACCCACAGCACCCACAGAGCTGTCCTGTGGAAATGGGACCTCTACAACTCCCAGTCCCCCTCCTCTAACACTCCAAGGCAAGTTTAGTCAGCTCTTCAGGTGGCAGAAGTGTCAGACCTCGGCGTGTTCTCCAACCCCAGATCCTCTCTGGGTGCTGCAGTCCCATCACTCACAGCACAAAAGGAAGGATGTGTGCAGGCAGCTATCAGATCTGGGCTCCTCACTCATTTCTCAGAGCAGGAAGCACAATTTATTACATCTTTTTTGCTGCTTCTGAACACAACCAGCCATTTCTTGGCATTTCATCAAAGATAAATAGCCTGATCCTGCTTCCATCCACATGGAAGGAAAAATTCCCCTCGGCTTCTCCTGCTGAAAGCATGAGCACTCAAAGAACATCAGCTGATGGTTTTAAAGTTCTTCCCACCTTTTCCCCCTGTTCCTTCTCTGCCAGGAGACCAAGCCTCAAGCACAGGCTTCCTTCTGGGGTCAGCCCTCCCATCTTCCAGAGGATCATCTTTCCCAAACCGCTGTGTTCCACTGCCTTGGCTGCAAAGAGGGAAGGAGCTGCTGCGTCTCGCAGCACTGCCCTGAAATATTTACAGCTTCGTGTGCTAAATCCAGAGCCACAGAGTGATGGGAGACAGGGGGAAAAAATCATGGCATGGATGGCACGGCCACCAGCGTGAGGAGCATCACACACAGTGGCTTCCACTACACAGAAGGTTTCAATTTCAAGATCATCCAGCATTTTTCAGGAACTCCAAAATGACACACACACACACACACAAAAAAAAATCCCCAAAAAACCACCCCCAACAAACCAAAGCGGGAGAGAGCAGTGGTGGGGGTTTCTTTTCCCTTTTAAAATTTGTAAGCATGTGTGTTTAGCGCTCGTGGAAATGTCAGATCTGAAGCGGAGGGAACTGGTACATCATCTGTCAAAACTGCAGCTGGCTTTAGCAGCTCAGCATGACATTATCAGGGAGCAACACGGGAAGGGGGAAAAACAAACCCGGCAGCGCGCAGCCCAGCACCAACGGGAGGAAATGAAGGCCTGCCTGCTGGATCAGAGGTCATCAGGAATAAAACTGACACTAAAAGAGACTTAAATGCACTTTAAGTTTGCAGCAAGGTTGGCTTAAAGGCTATTTCTGCCCTCACCTTCTGCTGCAGACACCCATTCTGCCTGAGGACACGTGGCTGCGTTTGCCCTTCTCCATCTCTCTCTGGTCTGGGGCTCCTCTCACCTGGGGCTCCTCTCACCTGTGTCTTCCTTTAGCCTTCCTCCTGACAGCCAAAATTGGCATCACTGTGGTTCTACCCACGGGTCTCAAAGAGCCCCCAGAGCCCTGCCTTGCCCATCATCAGAGAAAAAGCAAAAATGATGTGACTCGGGGTCATGTGCTGCACCCCAAAATCATGATGCTCCTTCAGCACAGGCAGTGAGCTTCCAACAGACCCTCGTTTCTCACTCTTTTCTCCTCCAAGTCCCCCCACAAGCCTTGCTTGCTCCTGTCCCTGGCAGCCTTCTCAGCTGGCTGTGCCCCTGGAACTCCACATCTCTCCGTGACCTTACCACCTCCCCAAATCTGCTTTCCCTCCATGTTTCCAGGCACTCTGGGGAGCAGGACCTTGCATTTTTAGCGCCGGTGCCGCCAGGTGCTGAGCAAATTCCCAGTGACAGATTATCAATAGTCAGAGCTATTAAAAATTTCCCCCAACTCCAGAGAAGGCCAACCAAGTACCGAGCAAAAAGGAGTCGGTTTTGAGTCGTTCCAGTCCCTGCTCCGCTGGTGTTTGAAGAGATGCTTCCATGCAGAGGCAAACAGGGGCCAGGGGTGGGTGCCTTGTCCTGCTGGGTTTCCTGGGAGATTTTGCCCTGGCAAAGAGCAAAGATTTGGGCTGGAGTGTTTGGAAGAGCAGAAGAGCTCGAGGCCAAGAGCAGGTTGGCAAGACTTGCTCCAGGGGGAGAGGAAGCCAAGATCCCCTTGCTCCGCAGGGATGGAGGAACTATTTGGTGTAAATCTGCTCTAACCACGGGCAGCTGCCCTGAGGAATTCCTGCAGGGAATGCTGGGTGCCAGAGCTGGATCTCCCAAGGCTTCGGCTCGGCCAAGGAAGGGTGAGCGTGTGTCTGCTGCTGGCTCAGCGCTGTCGTTTAGGCAGATTTAGGGAGTGTAATCGTATCTTCTGGAGCAGGTAATGCTGCCTGATTATGAGGAGGGGAGGGAGGAATTAGGAGCCAAGGCAAAGACAGAGCTGTTTAATGGACCCATTAGAGGGCATTAGCTGACAGCGACAGCACATCGCTGGAATTTAAAGGAGAGCACCGGCACAGCCAGGGCTTTGGGCTTGGGGTGTGCTGTGCTCTCCATCTGCCTCTCTGGACAGTGCTTCCCTGCCATCCCAGCTCCTTCTGTGTGGGCTCTCCAGCCCTCCTGGGTGCTGGAGGAGGTGGGAAGGCAGAGTGGAGCATTCCTGGCTCACAGAGATGTACAGGAGTGGACGCACTTGGCAACCCCAAAGCCTCCCTTCCACACCCCAGCCTCTGCCCCTTGCTGATCCCCTGGCCACCCCAGGACCTTGCTCCAGTGCCAGGAGGTGTCAGTGACTCTGGGAAAGTCACTTGAGCTGCTCCAGTTTTCTCAGTTCACTCATCACCTCTGACACCCAGGATCCCTCCTCACTCACCAGGTTTGGAGTGAGGGGAAGGGCTGGTGGCCCCATCCTTGTCAGGCCAGTCTAAGACCATCAGCTCCTGCAAGCAGTGACCCAGATACACTTAAAAACTTAAATAAATATAATCCAGACCACAGCTCTACAAGCAGGACCTGGCTGGTGGGGAGGCTGGTATTTAAAGACTGCAGGAAAACGGAGACATGAGTGATCAGGGCACATATGGGATGGGGAGGGTGGCAAAAGAACCACCCCCCAAAAAAAAAAAATTCTCATGGATCCAGCAGTCCTGTGTATTTCAGTGCTGGTTCCTGACTGAGGAAATTCCCCTTCCATGTGCATTTTCCACAGGTCAGAGCTGATGGAAGGCCAGGCAAGGCCACCACAGAGCTCCAAGCTGCCTGAAGAAGAGCCTGCCTTGGCCCTGGGGCAAGGGTAAGCAACCCCAGCCAGCCCTGCTTGCTGGGAAATGCAGGAATGGAGTGGATGGATAGTTCAGGACAGAAGCCCTTCCTCTGCACCCCAAGGAAGTCACAGGTCCAGCCTTCCTGGTGTGGGATCCCTCACAGGGACCACAGGCATCAACCTGGCTGATGGATACAAGCCCACCCTGCAATGCATTTCTTCCTTGCTTTCTCCCTTTCCCCTTTTCTTTCTCTGTCCTCCCTTCTACATCCTCCAGCCCTCTTGTTCCCCAGCAGTTCCTTTCAGCTGGTCATTTCAGCTGAAGTGGACAATCTATCTTTTTATTTTTAGGCTGGAAGCACTTCCAGGTCAGCTGAAGCCAGGCAGCAGCGATGCAGTGGGGATGATGCTGTGGGGTCCCTGTCTCCCTGCTCAGCAGGGACACCCCTCAGGCCTGACCTGAGCCCAGATTCAGGGGGAAATCCTCACACAGAGGATTTTAGAGCATCCCCTCACCCACACCCTGCACACTGTGGAGCAGTAGCAAATTTTCCCAAGGCTGGAGTTAATTCCAACGTGTCTGGGACACCCAGCAGCCCCCTAGGTGCCACTTGGAGAGCAGGAGAGCAACCCCAAAGTCCCTTTCTCCAGCTCAGAGGGCCTGGATTTGAGGTGAACATCCTTCTCTTTCCAGACCTAATGTGACCTCACCCCTTGTTTTTTCCTTCCCCACCTTTTGCTGAAGATTTATTTCACTGACACAAAGCAGCCCAAAAACACCCAAAAAAATGACAGAGGAGCCCCAACACAGGGCAGATGCAATAAAAATGGTGAACTGCAAGCCCAGCTATTCCATGCAGTCATTAGTAAAAGATATTGCTGCCTGCAGGGAGACAGTTTCTGGGTGGTTGGATGCAGAAATGTTTGGAGCAAATTCAATAAAGCCCAGCGTGCCTTTTGCTTTTAGACACGCTGTTTTCCTCCAAGCTGGCGTTCCTGGTGGAAGAGCATCGGTCGAGGCTGGGAGTTTGCCAGGAAGATTTCCAAGACCAGAGGTGGGGCACGGTGGTGACACCCAGCTGGGAGAGGTGGGGACCCCCAGCCTGGCCTGTCTCACCTGGGAGCAGACATTTCAACACAGCCTTCTTCAACAAACCTCCGGCGGGCTTTGGTGGTGATCCGACATCAAATGAAGCCTTGGGAGCTAATGCCAGAACCTCCAAAAATCCCTGCAAAGCCCATTTTGGGAGGGTTCTAGTGGTCCATCACACGTGCTACGACACCAAGGCTGTCAGGCAGAGGATTCTCCATGGAATCTGCCTTTATTTTCATTTATAAGAGCCTTCAGAACAGGTTTAAAAATCAGCCGTTTCCAGTTACGACTACAAGTGAATCAAAGCGCCGAAGCCCCTGCTTTAATTAAAAGGCACGATGCCTATGCCTACCTGGACTGCAATGGCAACAAAAGCAGGTTATTAGGAGAAGTAATATCCACCTAATCCAATCTGATCTGTGTAGTTATTAGGCCTAGCTAAGTATTGGTATCGATTTTATTACTAATATCACTGCCACAATAGGAAAGCAAGCTCAGAGTTTTCCACCGTTCATCATTTTGTTCGTTTGTTTGGCCTCGGAAGAGACGATTTTATTATTTCCTCCATCACTCAAAATCCACATATGGGCTTCCTTTTTGGGGTTTTACCTCTTGCTCCTTCATTTTTGCCTCTTCCTCACTTACATCTGCTTTTTTCCCCCTCTTGGTTTGTCTCTCGCTCTCCACAGAACAGCTTCATGCAGGATTAAACCCAATGCTTACATTGTTGTTAGTCGGAACTCAGCCAGAGAAGCTTCCAGCAGTTTATGAGTCAGAAACACAAGATAGAGCTGCTGGTCACTGAGAGAAATTGCCAGGAATTTGGGGAGGGTGAATCATCCTCAAAGATAGCTGAGAAGAGAAACAGACAACCTCTTGTCCTTTTCCTCTTTGTCTTTCAGCTCGTTTTATTTTTACCCAGCTTTGAGTAAGGAGCACAACGTGGGAATTTTCTTGAATCTCCCCATAGGAAGGAGCTTGGTTCTTGCATTTTCCCATAAGGACTACCTGGGAGATGGACAAACCTGATGCTGGAGGAGCTCCCTCTGTGAAGCCACTGGGCAGTGCTCCTCCCCATGTGCTGCAACACACAGAGCTTTGTCTTTGGCTCCCAGTCTTCCCAAGGAGTTCAGTCGAACTCCGGGTTAACTGCAGCTCCCTTGCAAAGCTGTCTATCACTTCTCACAGCTCTCAGCCTCTTCCTTGCTCACTCAAGAAAATAACAGCTCCCACACTCTGAAAAAATCCCACATAATTGGTACAGTCTCCACAAAGTGCCTCTCAACCAACAGCAGGGTGATTTGGAGCTCGAAAGGTGGCCCTGTCTTTTCAGAAAGGGTCATGGGCTGACAACCTTGTTTATCTTC